AGGGCAGATAAAGTGGGACACGGTGACAATCAGCATATGGGGGGAGCTGAAAATCCTTCCTGCAGACAGAGAGCTCAAAATATATCTGAAGGGGAGGGATTTTGAAAGCATTCAACAGAACAGAGGAAAAGAAATCTGGAGTCTTCAGAGCCAGACAAAGATATTCCTGGATAAAATATCTCAGCTGAAAGATGCTGGGAAGGATGACCTCATCACTATATTTTTAGATCATATCATTCAAACGGACCTTCCCTTCTGGAGTCGCAGTGGCTGAGGCAGCACCAAATGCTACAGTCAGTGAGACAAAGGCCTTCCAGAGTTCACAAAGATGTCCCTGAGCCATTCATCTTGAAGGGCTCCCCTCTGCCTCTGCGTGGAGAAGGATGTGCGGGTCAGGCCATGGTGATCACAGACACACACTCTGTGCTGGAGTTATGCTAATATCATAGTGCCAGCAGGCCGCTAAAAGGAGCGTTGTGAGAACAGCCACCAGGAACTGAGGTATAGCATGGCTGCTTGGTTTTCAGAGTCACAACGTTGAACTATAACAGCAAAGATGATGTTGTCACATGCAATACGCACTCATGAAAGGGAAACATAATGCGTGAAAGAAGTTAAGGCCTGTCCACCGAGAATGATGTCAGGTCTTTGAATGCATAGGGATATCATGTACACAATTGAAGTGTCCAGTTTTGTTGTGCACTTGTATGTGACTAATTTTAGTCCAATTAGCAACAGTGGTCTGAATGGATATGATTTTAGAGTGTGACCAAGGCACATGGGAGTTGATATGAAGCAACACTTCAGATTCAGAATAGATTTCTTGTTTTTTTCTCTGAATCTATGCTGGTAAAGCCCATGGCACAGTCTGAGAGTCTTCATAGTGAACTTCCAGAAGCAGTACAGTTGTTTAGAAAGGGCTTTCTTGATGTTCTTGTTAGCAGAAAGCTTAGAGGTGACCTCTCGCATCTTAAATTTACCAGCCATTTCTCAGTGCTACTACCACTATGTTATTTTGACATAGCCTCAGAAGTACTGAGACATGGCTAGTATAACCTTAGCAGCAGTAACATTCAACAAGTCATGCATGCTGTAGGTGTTTTGGAGAGTGGCTAGTTTGAGTCTTTAAGAAAAATGGATCAAGTGTATGACTGTCCAGTGATAAGGTAAGTACTTCTTCCCCATCTGGATTTTTTTGTTGTCTCTTATATGCACCTGAAATTCTTTTACAGCCTCTTCTATGTCAGTATGCTGTAACAAAGCCACTGATATAGAAAGAAAAAAAAAATCTGTGATATAGACATATCAGAATAAACAATAGAAAGCTTTGCTGAGCATACAGCAAATGGTGGTGGAACAGATGTCAGTCTCACAGCTGGCACTGGGCTCTTCACAGGGTGTTGTGAATGCAATATGGTAGAGGACCCGAAGCCTGGAAATAGCTATAGGAGTAGCTATAGGTGATCATCTCCAGTTCCAGAGAGCTGTGTACATAGGACCTCCGCGAGCTGCTAGAACATGGAGAATACTGCCACACAATGAAACTCCAGAGAGTTGCTGAGATATTTGTTGTTAGCATTACCCCATTCAAAGATTTATTACATGCTGCATTCACTTACGAAGTGAGGAAGAACCTGGGGCTGGATTTTGAGATCTGCAGGGACACCAAACCGAAACCATCATTACGAGATGAACTAGGTGAAGCATGGTGAACATTTAGCCAGGCTTAGGACAATTGATCCTATCTTACAAAACTGTAGCTAGTTGGTATTAGTACTAATCAAAATTCATAATATATATGGAAGAATTTTAAACTTCATCTTGGTTACATGTAGATGAAAACATACTGCTTTCACACAGTTCATTGCCACACACCCACTTGTCATATTCCTGGCTTAGCAAGTGCTCTTGTAAAACAGGTCACGTAAAAGAAGAATGAGAGAAAATATAATCCATTACACATGGATCAACATAAGCAGTTGTTTGTTGCAACAAAAACATCATGCAGCTTTGGAAGACATGAAAGTAATGTCCCATAATTACATTAATATTTGACCTAATTTTTAAGTCTTTTGGCAACACACAGCATGGGGAAAGTTGACCCCTGGAGATGTTATTAGTGAGACATGAAAACAGGCTTTAAATACACATTTCTACACAAAGAAAAATTGGCTGAAGATGAGACTCCACCAGGGGTGTCTTCATCTACTCTCTTTGTTGCTCATTTATGTGATTTTGAAAAATAAGCATAAAAAGGTATACAAATACTTTAAAAATATTAGTTCTGCAAAATGACAAAAATAGCAAAATAAGGTGATAAAAGCAGTAATGGAGCAGAAAGATAAAATAACAAGCAAACTAATGATGAATAAAAAATGTAATGATTAATATTATGCATACAATCTTACTTTGCAAATAAAAAAAAAAGAAATCCAAAACAAAGAAATACCAACGTTTAAATGTAATGTAAAATTAAAATTATTAGATAACAAAATATCTCAGAGATAAAGATACCTTAGAATATATACGCCTGTATTACAGCAGAATACATCTGGATGTTCAAGTGCATAGGAAAAGAAAGTATGAATAATGATAATAAACATAATAATAAATAAAAACAACAACAAAAAAAAACAACTCAAGGAAATAGAAAGCCTACACTTCAGCAGTTAGAGTTTCTATACTCTACCAGGTATTCCGTCCCCAAAATTATTGGATAAAAGGCTAGAATTCTCCGTTCAATGCTACTCTGAAAGTAAAGCAGGAGAAAATAGACAAGCTTGTAAATCCATATTTGATACCTCCCAGGACAAAAGAAAAGAAAATGGCATATTCTCAAGTAGTTTAGAACATGAAAAAAAAAGAAAAGAAAAAGAAAAAGAAAAACATGCGGAAAAAGCTTTTTGAAGGTATATAACATAAAGAACAAAAAGGGAAAAGCAGAGCAGAGCCTCTGAATCTCTTGCTGGCGGCGCTCCCCTTGTGCGGGGGGGTCCACGCCGGCTCCCCCGCCCGCTCTGCGAAGGCCGCAGCCGCCCCCTTCCCCAACGCAGGGACACGCTGTTCCTG